AAAATTTGCAAGCAGAAAAGAAAAAAAGTTACTGTTGGGTGACATTTTTTCTGCATTCATGCCATAGGATTAGCATGGGGAGATTATCAGGACAATGACTTTCTTTTTGCCAGATTTTTCCCAACTTCGGCTACTCAAAGCTGTGTTTTGATGACCTTGGGTCAAACCAAAACACAGGAGCCTGCAAAAAAATCCCGGCACTGTTACATAATGTAAAAGAACCCACCTTTGCCCGCAAGGGTTAATTTGACCACTGGTGAATGGGACCATTTGGTTATTCAGACCAAATTGTCTCGGACAGAAACAAACCCTCTAAGATACTGAAAATTTATTTTTTTGACTTCTTTCTACCAAAACTCCCCTTAATTGCACCAAAGAAAGTTCACACATTCTGTGTGAATGAGCCTCAATGGTGTCACAGTGATGTGGTACCATTGTGGCATGTGACAATTGTGTCACAGTGTTGTGACATTTTTGTGGCAAAATAAAAAGAGCCACAAATGGCTTCACAGTATTGCGACACTGTCATGGCTTAATTGACTGAGCCACAATGGCATCACAACACTCTGACACCATCATGGCATAAAATTGAATATGTTAACATAATGGGACCATCTGCTTAATAGGACCAGAAATCCTGTGGCCCAATGTGGTCCTAAATTAACCCTTGTGAGGCATGTCTCAACTAAATTTAACCGCAGAGAAGAAATTCATTTTTGGATTATGCAAATGTCCCAATAAATGCCACACAAGTACTTACAGCAAATTCTGGTCCTTGGGGCCTCTGAATCTTGGTACAAAGTCCACAAATGTATTTCCCCTGATAATAATGTAGTTAGATTTCGAGTTTCTTCAACTGAGACATCATTCTCAACAGGGCTGGATTAAGGTGGGTGCAATTGATGCTGTAGCATTAGGCCCACCAGGCAAATAGGCCCCCAGAGAATTCAGAAAGGAAATTTTCCAAACAGGGGAATTTCAAATCAAGTAGTAGAGCATCCGCAGTGCACCGAGTGTAAATCTTTTCTTTTATTTTATTTATTTATAAAAGAGAAATAAATAAATAAATTCGAATCCCAGTGGGATTCAAACCCACGCCTGCAGAACCAGACTGTGACCTGAACGCAGCGCTTTAGACCACTCAGCCATCCTGACAACTTAATGCAATAGATGCATTTTCCCTTCTGAGAAACAAACAGGAAACAAGGTGCAAAATCAATGGGCCACAGACACACGTTACACAACGTCCTTATTATTTCCCCCCCAGACCCCTGTAGGATCCTACTGCTTGTTCCTCCCACTGCAGACGTTAAAAATTCCTAAGCTGGGGATGTCAAACCTTTGAGAGAGTATGAAAACTTTGGAAAAACAGAAAACAGAAAAGTATTTAGGATTTTAAAAATCAGGCATCAATAAATCAATTCAAGCACACTGCTGCACATAAAAACCCTTGAAAAGGAAACCAGATTGAGGTCACAAAAATCTGTCAAGACACACAATGATTCCTGCATTGAAAAAGAGATCAAGGCCAATCACCAAAAACAGGAAGAGGCAGCACCAACAAATCATGGGGTGGAGAAAATTAAATAAAAAATTTCAATTCCACTCATGCCCCTGGATTAAATCGAAGATTACAATTCCACTCACGCCACTGGTGGTGGTATAAAAAGTGTCACTCCTGTCCCCACTTCAAAAGCCTTTGGTTGCCTCAAAAATCTTGTGAAGTGATTTCTTGTTGTTTAAAAAATTGTGGATATTTTATTTCTGAAACATCAACGATTTATAAACAATTGTTATGAAAAAATTAATTTCATTTAATCCATTCCCTGCTGTGCCTCCTTATCCCCCTTCCTGTTTGTCATTGTTCTGGGTTCCATAAATTGAAGTGTCCCTTTTTTGCAACAGAGATGCCTTTTGAACACCCACTTCCCCTGAAAAAAGTTTCCCCTTGCATCCTGGGAAATAGAAAGACCCCCTAAAATGTTATACTTTGCACCAGGTCAAGGGGATCTTGTCAGCCATATTTTCTGTGAGGACTTCCAGGAGCAGGAGTGTGACAAACTCAGTTTGTTATTCTTTACATATCCCTGTGTATCTTGTGTTGCAAAAATATGTCTTTATCTTTCACTCTTGCCAGTTTTCAATGCAAAAAATTTGCAGTTTCTATATGTATTTTCTAGATTTTCCATTGCTCTATTCAGTCTATATAAACATTTGGGAGGTAATAAAAAGATTTACAAGTTGCTGAATGTTTTTTTTTGTTGCTTTTTTTGTGGAGCCCCTCACTGCTTTCTAATGTAAATGCTTCAAGTTTTTTGTTGTTGTACAGTAATAATGATGACACTGAGAAACTTCAGACAATTTCTAAATCTTTCTTGAAATTTTCGAAAGGATTAGAATAAAATACTGTATTGAACTTTGTCCTCACTTCAGCAATCATTCAGAAATGCAATTTTTTCAAGTGCTCATTGGATGAGTACCACATTTTTTATTTTCAAATATCCCAAGTAAGCCACACAGTATGGGTTAAAATTAGGGGACTTTTTGAATAAATGGAAAAATTGATGTAATTTTGATATGCAATCCAGGTTAAAGTTGAAATTATAATGAGACATTTCTGTTTTTAAGACCAACACATACTTGATCATCATGAACTTTTTTGATTATGTACATCTTTTGTGCCACAAGTGGAACAACTGATATTTTTGTGCCCATTCCTAATTAAACACTTCCAAATAATTCTCAAATGCACTGAGGTTTATGTTGGAGCATATAATTGGAACTTGTTAATTTAGATAAATTTTCACATTATTTTTGGATTTATGCCTATTCAAAAATGTTTAATGAAGGCAAGGTGGGGCAGTTTCACTTTTAAAGTAATTTTTTTTGTAACAATGGTAAGTGGGTGATTTTTCATACACTATCTGGTAATCACCACATAAGTAAATCAAATTTTTTGCTTGTACCTGTCTGCTCCTTCAAATAGAGGAACATATCTTCTAGGACAATGTTTACTTGAAAGAAGGACATACAATTTAGAATGTAGCTAAAGAATTTCCAAAAAATATGTGATGTTATTGTGTGTTTTTTGAACACCAAACCTTCTCTACAAAAATCTTTAGTCTTTCAATAAATTGGACTGCTGTACTGTTTAATTTTTTTGCATTACTTCTACCATTTATGAACTAATTGCTATAGTCTATGCACAGAATCAAGCCCAACATTTTGTTATAATGAGACAACAGCCTAAAATTAATTCATTACAATGAGATTTCTATAACATGTTGCCATAAGGGGAAAGGGCCAGGACTAAGAAAAATGCATTATAAGAAAAGTGTATTGTAATGAGAATCATTGAGGTGGAATTCTACCATATCTATATGTGTGATTGGATCCTAGCCTCAGATATCCTTTGTTCTCTAAAAATTAAATTTTTAATTGTGTGAGGAAAATTCCCCCATTGTTATTATTATTATTGTTATTACTTATTGCAGGGTGATTAGTTGGTTGGAAGTGTGAGTCCCTGAGAGAGGCCAGTCACAAAAAAAGGAAAGACAGGAAAAAGAAAAATAGAGGGAAAAACAATGACAATGACGAGGCAGGTGTTGATTTGCGTGCTGGGCCTGATGGTAGCACTGGCCCAGGGCCTGGAGCCCAAGCAAGAAAAGGTGCAGGTGGACAAGTACTCTGGCGGCAAACCGCAGCCTGCCTACAGTCCGCAGCAACTGACGGCAGCCTACAGGTACAGAACTACTGAGGGTGTTGCTGCAGGTGGTGGTGGTGGTGCTGCTGCTGCAGCAGCGGCAGCCCAGCCCAAGTATGCCCAGCAACAACAGCAGCACAACCACCCTGACAACTACTACAATTCATACCTGCAGCACCCAACTGGGTAAAATGGTGCACACTTGGGATATGCATGTATTTCCACACAGTGACCCTGCTGTGCACCTGAAGTGTACCAAAGTTCTTCTTCTGCACATGTATACCCCTAATGTGCATCAATTGTGTGTTCACACCAGGATTACTCAGGGTCACATTTTGTAACAAACAAGTTACACCAAGGTTACAGTTGGTGCATTTGTGTGATACTCCTCTTATGTCACATTTGTGCACCAAATGTAGCCCTGGAATGATAGCAAAATTTCATCTACAGAGGTGCATGCGTGTAACCCTAGAATATAGCCTACGTACACCAGTTTTTGACCCCAGTGTGCACCAGTGGTGGGGTCACACAAAGAATAGCTCCCCACTCAGGCAGCAAGTCATTGCCAATAACAAGTGCAAAAGCCAGCTCATCCCCAAATTGAACACACATCAAACACATCACTCATGCCTTATTGTCTGATCCTGGTGGCACAAACTGTGATTATACACATTGCCAACTAACAGTGTCAATTATCCCTTGTAGCAGTACAGTATGAATACTGTATAATCCTCTATAAGTCTATATCCCTGGTGTTGAACAGTCAGGAGACTGATGACCTGCAGCTCATCTGTCATTTTGTTTTCCATTGTTTCACCTTTGTCTTTTGGGTATGTACAGGTGAACCTCAATAAGTCAAACCTCCCTAAGTCACATTCCTCCCTAAGTTGAATTTTTTTCAAGTCCCTGTCTGAATCCCCTTAGAATCATTACATTAAAAAGCTCCTTAGCTCAAAATGTTTTTTTGTCTAAAGCCTATGTAAGTCAAATTTCTGGAGGCCTTCTGGTTATTATTTCCTTAAAATAAGAAAGAGAAAATCATTGAAAGAAATAATTTAATGAATCTTGAAAGGAATTGAAAGACAAAAATAGCAAATGAACCCCTGCTTCCAAGTTCAGGAAGGTGTAAACTGATTATAAGGAGCTAGTTTTGTTCCAGAATATCCTCTTTCTGATTTCAACACTTTTTTCATTTCTTCTCAAAACAGAAGTTTTGCATCCTCAACTGGGAACCTCCAAAAATCAAAACCTCCCAAAGTCAAAATTGTTTCCTGGACCCAAGAAATTTGACTTTTAGAGGTTCAACTGTACTGTATTTTGCTTTTGGGCTGAGTACAGTACATATACTGTGGGGTAAATGCATTCCTTCCAACCAACTTCAACTCGCCCGCCCAAAGAAGAAGAAAATACTCCGTGTTAAATGAAATGGAATGGAGTAGAGACAAATTAGAGAGAAGGGTTGTCTAATTTCCCGCTCGCTCCAATGAGCAGATGCATCTCCATGTTTACTGAACAATAAACTAAAAAAGTGATAAGAGTAGAATGCGGGTGACTCAGCAGGAGGAACATGCATCATTGCTGCTGGGCATCTCGGTGCAAATGCTTGATGAACTTTTTTTCTTCTTCTTACATGCATGTGAATTATTTCATTAAACTGAATTGAACTGCTGCTGCAGACTGAGTGGGCGAGTTTTGAACAGCGGTTTGGTGGTTGGAATAATGCATTCAATGCACAAATGAGACATGTGCTTGGCTGCGGCTGCAAATCATCCAAAAACCTCTGCTTCTTCTTCTTCTTCCTCCCCCTTGAATCACTTACCCTTAGTTTATCGCATGTCCCACCCACAGGTATGACGAAAACACGGCCTGGAACCAAGAGGCACAGTCTGCGGGTCCTCAGGCCATCATCGCTGCCCATCAGGACTGGTACCGCCCAGGCATTGGAGCCGAAGCCATGCACGGCGGCGGTGGCGCCGTTAATGGCGGCAAGAACGGCGGTGGCAACCGCCGTGACCGCCGTCAGGACAAGAAGCAACAGAACCGCCGGCAACAGAACCAGCAGGCGCCCCTTCGTAACGCCGTCCAGCCGCAACAGTTCCAGGGCGACTTCAACTACGAGGACTACTACTAGGAAGACTCCAGTCTCAACATCCGCGAGTACGTCCCACAGCCCCTGCATCAGTAGTTGCAGCAGCAGCAGCACTACTCCCTGATGATGATGATGATGATGATGATGATGATCAGTGAACCATTTCTTCTTCTTCTCCCTATTTGTTCTTTCTCTCTGCCCGCGAGATGTTTCATTTGCCATGATGATGACGGGTCCTGTCTGGTCCTGTGATATTTACTGATACACTGTATACTGTATTTGTCTTTTTTGTCCCTTGCTGTTGGGTCAAGAGATTGCCTTTTGATTAAGCTGGATTTCTTTATTTCTTATGTGTGTCAACTTGAATGATACAGTATATGATATCTTCAAATACAGTATATGATGGGAAAAAGGGAATACAAAAAATGCATGCAAATGTATACCAACATAAAGATGAATACTGTAATTACTTGAGTACCGCATGCACCTTTTTTCTCAAATTTCCAAAGAAAAAAATAGGTGCACATCATAAGCGGGTAAAAATTTTCCAAGAAGTTTTAGGAAGTTATGTGTAATTTATACTTGATTATAATGGAGAAATCTGGAACAAATGTAGCAAGAAAACATTTTTGTACTGAAACAGTTGAAAATTGATCGGATTTTTGTTCAATTCATGTCTAAAGTCAATTTTTTGTTTCTATTATCAAAATTTTGTGGTTTTAGAAGTCACTAAAAATTGGGGTGCACATCTTACTCAGGGATAAGATTTTAGCAAAATGTCCAACTGAAAAACCCCTGTGCATGCCTTGCTTGAGGGCGCATGGTACTTGAGTAAATATGGTACATTATAAGAACATAATTTTTTGTGTACAGGTTGTACCATTTCTTGTTGAGCAGCAATTTTGGCAAATGAAAAAAATTTGACTTTTGGACGCAAATAGGAAATTCATTCCTCCTGAAATTAATAAATTAATTTAAAAAAAGGCCCAACATGAGGACACTGACTCAACATAAGGACATTGTGTTATAAAATTGCAAATAGATTTCAGGCCAAATTACAAGAAACAGATATTTACAACCCTAAAATTGATGTAAGAAAAGTTCTTGGGCATTTCTCTCACCAATTTACCATTCATTTAGCTAATTAAAAAAATTACCTCCAGCATAGAGGAGATTCTTTCTTTTTTCACTTGAATCATATTTTTATACAGAATGTCAAAATTTCTATGCACTGTACAGAGGTATCAGTATTCAGTTCCCCAAATGTCCATACTGCAATGTGTTGAAATATATTGATTGAATCAGTTGAAATTGGGAGAAAATTGCTTCATGGAATTATGGTGAGTATTTTCTCCATAAAACACTGATTAAAAATTATAATGCAAGTCTAAGGGCAAATGAGACTTGACTTGGGGACACTCTTGATGCACCAATTAGGTCTTCATCTTGGGGTCTCACTTTATATGATCCAGTGCAAGAGACAGAGAGTTAATTCTACACAATCTACAGCATGCACAAATGAAATGAGTGGGCAGGGGGTTGAGTTCTGTGTGGGTTAGTTCTGGTGTATGCCCAACTTCACCTCTATATTTTCCCAAGCCTCTGAAGATGCGACATCTACATGCAGAAAAGAAACATGTTGGAAATGGGGACATACAGCAAATTTCACTGCCTGCATTCTTTCAAGTTAAATGTGCAACGCTGTACATTTTTAAACATATTTAGATGATTTAACCCTTGTGCGGCAAAGTCAGACTATTTTTGCAAAATTTTGTGGCACCTCAGAGAGGTTTGAAAAAAAATGATCACAGGTGGTCAAAGGCAAAGTTGGGAAAAATCCCAATGCTTTTTTCTCTGAACACAGAAAAATTTTGCCTGCAAAAAAAGATTATCAGTTAGGCTACCGGCTTTTTTCGGATCAATCCCTACTTCGCCTCAGCCCACCTTGAAGGGTTTTGGTGACCTTCCCAAAAGTGAGAATGCTGGAGGATACAAAAATAATCTGACTCTGTCCCGCTATGGGAAAGAACCCTCTGCCGTCCTATAGGGTTAATTGCAAATAGATCCCAAAATGCCTGCTTTTAGGAAGGGTGATTTCAAAAAGAAAATTTTGCCTTAGGAATTGTAATTTCAATTTTTTTTAGAACATTAAACATTTAATTTTCTTCAAGTTTGTTTAGTGTTAGAAGTCTGGAAACTTTTTGTCAGTCAATAAATTTATCCCAGGACCCTTTCTCTACACAATCAGTTATTTTTAAAATGTGTGTCTCTTCAATGCGTAAATCTTGAGTGCTTTCTCATTTTTCGCAAATAAACGAGTAAATGAAGTCAGATATTTGTTCCCAAATCTTTCCCAGAGTCATTTGCCTTTCGGCATTCGTTGAGATCAAGGATCTTTTCTCAAGCAGCAACATCTTTCTCATGACATTTATCAAGTTTAAATTATTTTTCGTTCCGCTTTGAACGAATTCCTTTTTTTTGTTTTTCAACGAAATGTCCACGAAAGTGCTGAAAATTAATCTCATCATCGCCCTGCTGCTGCTGATGTTGTCAGCAACAGCATCAGCGGGATTGAAAGTGAATCAAAACATCGTCGAGAACCTCCGGAATCATATTGTGCAAAAAATGCTGCAAAAAGAAATCCGCGAAGCCGCAGCACGTGTTGAAGATGCCGCGATTCTCGACAGAATAACTACTGAAGAACCCGTAAAATTCGCAGTCAATTTGGCAGAGAGAATCGCGAATGTGCCGATTTTGCGGAATGATTTGAAAGCCGGCGAAATGTACCAATACGAGAAAATCGTTCATCACAAATCCGAGCCGTCATCGCACGTCGTGCCGAAAAATGGAGGAATTGGCAGATGGAAAGCCGTGCAGAAAAAGTTGGAGAAAACTCAGCGAAAGCTGGAGACGAATCTCATCGCGCTGAACCTGCTGAAATCCGCAATTCCCAAGACCCAGAATTTTGCAGAACCATCATTCCAAAAACCGGAACATTTTCTCTACTCTTCTCTGATGGGTCTTCAAACTTTTCCTCAGAAATCCAGAACCGGAAAACCCGTGAAATCGAAACCCCTGCTGATGATGGACCCAGGAATCAACACCAAATCTGCACAACGTGCTGACGAGACGAGGAAAATGCAATCCATCCGAAATTTGTCCAGGCGTTTGGCTCCAATTTTCGCCAAATTTTTCAGGCACATGATGATGAAGGATTCGAATCGTTTCATTCATCCGACTTTAAGGAATAACGTTGAGAATAAGAGGAGCATGACGACACAAACTACACTAGCGCCATCTACAACGATTGAAGCTGAACTTCCGTCGATTGAATTCCGACGTGAACTTAGGAATGATTTATTGGAGTCTTTCAAACGTGATTGGGAAAATTACAAATCGCAGGAGGAATATTATAAATACCTCGTGATGGTTCATGAAAACCCCTCCTTGAGTGAATCTCTGTCAGAAATTGAATAAAACACTGAAAAATGAAGATTTGCTCCATGTTTATCATTTTACACTTCCATTATAAGGCGTTGAAAAAATTCGAGGCTCTTATTTTCTTTTGAACACTCTAGAAAAATAGACGTGAACAATTTTTGCAAATTCTGTGCATCTTTCTTCAGTATAATTTTGAATATGATCTGTATTTTAAATATGTTGTTGTGGGTCGACTAGATGTTGCCCAGAGCAAATGAGATTGCACCGTGATGCACCATGAAACAACTAGATGTTGCTCATGGTTGAGCCATGTTGCTTAGAAGCAACTGGAATTATCAAGAACACAGAATTATATAAGTCAGAATATCCTATGAAGTTATGATACATTCATGGAATAATTCTGTAATTATTATGAAACATCATCAGTAATCTTCATCAAAAGGATTCTCATGAAACACAAGACTCAGCTCCAAGAAACTGGCCTTTAGGTTCATTTCCATTAGAATGGACCTGAACCTGAACCTCAAACCTCATCATGACCATCATTGCTGTTCCTGAAGTGTGCATGCAAACATCACTCTGAGAAAGCTTGTATTCTGTGTTTGACATTCTCATTCGGAAATAAATCATCAAAGTTGAGGATTCTACCTCAGGCCGCAAATGGCCGATTGCCAGTGTCATTATTTCACTGAACCTAATTTCTTTGTCTGGAGTCTAAGGACCCCTGACATATGTGTCTATTACTCCTCCCACTTTGTTTTCCAATGGTTCACGCACTCAAATTCTAACCTTTTTTTTGTGATTCAAAGACAAAATCAATTCATAAAATGAAACTAGAAAAAGAAAGGAAATAAAATAAATACATATGGTCACTATAATGTTGTACAGTATTCTCAAAGTGTTTTGAGACACACCAAAATATTATATAGAATACATCTATTTATAGCAATATTTTACTAAAATTATGTATTAAAATAAATATAAAAGCATATACAGTAAAATGGAATATATATTTTAAGCAGTGCAGTATTTTTTTTCTTTAATCATCAAGTGAAATATGCTTTTCTGGAAACTGAATAGTGCAGATGAATTTTAAAATTATCATCAGAATCCATGCATATTATTAAAAATTTTTACTGAGGCTCAATAATCATACTTTTGGAAGCTGAATGAGAAACAATTCAAAAATGCATTCAAATTTTGATAAAGTAATACTTGTAAAATGATTGAATTTTTATTTAGAAGTCAGTCAATTGAATATTTGCTCAAACTTTTCCTAATGCTAAGAATTTATTTTAAGCATCAGTATATTCTTTTTATAAATGGTTGAGGTTAAAATTCACGCTTTCTGAATCAGGAACATGATAAATAAATACTGTATGGATATCTGTTTCCATATAGGTAAATTTTCATTTGTCAACCGGAAATATGCTTTATTCTGCAAACTGCAATAACTTTTTCCTAAACTTCATTAACTGTTCTGAATTCTTTGGGTTCAAAGGGAAGCAAATAAGGATATAAGAGATGAGATCAAATAAAACACAAGATTAATGTGCAGGAGTCTATTTCATCCTCTGATTCCTTTTTTTCACCAATCCTCTTCTTTTTTTTAGCTCCTGTGAAAAAATTTTAAAATTCAAGTTCAAATGGTTGAGTTTCTCCAAAGTTTGGTTTCTTGTCATGGATTCCAAAATACTTGGAGGGCCTTTGTGGCTTGAATGGGTTGACAGGTCTGCTTATTCCCAGCCACTTGGAAAAGTTCAAGTCTTGAAGAGGCTTTAGAACTTCATTGTTTCTTATTGGCAGAATTGGTTTGTAGTACTTTGTGGTTGGATGGTATTTATCTATGGATGGATCCCGGATTGGACTCATGAATTGGTTTATCACTGCATCACCATCATGAAATGTAGGCTTTCCTAAATTTGTTGATTCAGCAGGATGAGCAAAATGAAGATTTTTAGTTCTTGGCAGATTCAATGCTGGGGACAGCATGCGAGGATATTCCACAAGAGGGTCCATGTAATTGTGAAGATGAGCTGGTGATGATTGTTGTTGTGGAGCTGGAATTTGGCGGTTCTTTGGATGATCGTTTTTATCAGAATAACTGCTGTGTTGCAGAGGTATTTGCTGATGCAACTGCTTTTCATAAAATTTTGCTGCCAAAAGGTTGTCCAGCAAGTTGGAGACCATTTTCTCCAATTGTTTATCCTGGAACAACTTCATTAAATTCTGGAGATGCCCCACTTGACCTCCAGTGTCTGGATCCTGCAGATTATGAGTCATCAAGTGGTTGGACATGTCATGTGTCATAGTTTTCTCTATGATCTGATTTGCCATCAAATTTGCCAAGGTGTTTTGGTTCATTGTGTCGCCAGAAGATGGCAGGCCTATGCCCAAAAAGTCATTCATATTTGTATTCATTCCTGAACCATCCATGTTCATCATGGGGAGTGGATCATTTCCCTTGACCTGGAGCATCAGTTCCATGAATCTGTCCATTCCAGTCTTAGTTTTTGGTCCTGGAGCTGCATAATAGCCTTGATTTCTAGTCCTGGAACGGCTCTGACGCATTTTTTTCTTGAATAGATGTGTATATCCTTTGAATCGTTTCTGAAGCATTTTGTTGTTGTGTAGAGGTATATATCCAATGAATCTCTGCATTTTTGAGGGGGTCTTTGCTTGATTGGTTGATGTGATGTACACTGTTAAAATCAGGGCCAAAAGGTTGATCAGCTTCAGTTGTCCTATGGAGAGAGAATGAGAGAGAAAGAATACATTTTTGTTTCACTCACACAAAATTGGCTTTGATGCTGTGATTTGCATTTGGGAGAACAGCAATTTGAAGCAGAAATTTTGAGACTGGACAATTTGAGACAGTGGCATTTAGATAGAGACAGGGACTGTGAAGTACAGTATGTCTACTTCTGTTTTGTTTTGTTTTTGTTTTTTGGGCTCATTTTCAATCCAAGGGAGAATATTTTTTTGCAGTTTACCTCTGTGCCAATATTGTGACAATATGAGAATTGATAAAATATGTTTTGAAGTGTTTTTTGGTGTGTATTATTACTGTGAACAGTTGGTACCTTGCAATTCAACCTCCCACACTTTGACCATCATTTGACAGTAATTTGACAGATAAATTTGCAAGGAGGTTGAATTGCAATTTGACCCTTGCCACACAATTTGACCTACTTTGGCAACTTTTTCACGTTTTTCTGCTTATTTTTTTTAATTTCATGGAGTGTCTTGGAATTCAACTGATTTGCAATTTAACCCCAGTTTGGAAACAGATTTAGGTCAAATTGTGATAGGTACCACCTGTAATACTATGGTGAAGGGAAAAATGAAAGTAAGGGGATGCTTGTATTTTTGAAAAGAAGATTCCTATAGTCATGGTTTTACTCCAATTATATGTCTTAAAGAGGAAAATAAAATTAGCCTGACTTCTGATAAAACAGTGTCATTTTTGTTTCTTTTCACACTTTCAATATAGGATATGAAGGAGGAACCCATCCAGGGAATAAATTAACAAATGCTTCTGTCTCAAATACTGTACAGTGAGACCCCCGGACATAATTGGTTTATCAAGAGTGTCCCTATGTTGGATTGTCCCCAAGTCAAATCTTGTTTTCCCATAGACTTACATTGTATAATTTGTAATTGGTGTTTTACGGAAGAAATATTCTTCAGAATTTCATGAAAAAAATTTTTGCCACTTGAATTTGATTCAATGAATATCTTTTCAAACGAATAAGAACATTTGGAACATTGAATAGTGTACCTCTGTAGAGTAAATTGAAAAGTTGGCATCTGGAAAAATAAAATCCATGTCACAAAGAGAGCTAGAAGGAAGTCCCTCTGTGCTATAGGGCATTTTTTAAATTGGCTAAATTGATGGGAAAATGATGGGAAAAGTACCAAAGAATTTTTCTTGCATATATCTTAGGTTGGAACCATCTGTTTCTTGCAATTAAGCCTTATAAAAATCAATTTTCCTAAAATTTATTTTGGAATTTTATCCTACAATGTCCCCAGGTTGAGTCAGTGTCCTCATGTTGGGTCTTTTTTATGATTTTTTTGTTAAAAAAAATAAATGTCCCCATGCTGAATCGTCCCCATGTTGAGGCGTACGCATGTGGTGGTCTCACTGTAGTCTCTGTCTCAAAAGATGTCTGTCTCAAATTGTTCTAGATCCAATTTGGACTCACCCTTCATGTTTAGTAGCATTTGTTTTTCTTTTTCAAATTTTGTCAAAAGTATTTTATCTGGAATAAAGAACATTGACTCTGGATTAACAGGAAATTTAAATAATTTCTTCCATTTACTGGATTGAAAGTACTGGAATACATGCTGCAACTTTTTAGTTTGTTTTAGACTTCCAAAAAAACCCAATTCACGGCGTTTTGGTGGCATTCCTTGGTCCACCCCTTCGGAACAAGGATTGAAAAGGGAAAATCTTCTTTTGTTGTGGGAGATAGATATTCTTTGGGCTGTCAAACAACTTGTCCAGTGGATTGACTGGGTGTCCCGGAAGTTTGAGTCTTGCTGATATCCTGTTGATGAGTCCACTCAGCAACTTATAGTCCCTGTTCTTCTGGCTCTCCAACGCATCTTGCATCAATTTGGAGAATCTTTCATTTTGCAACTTCATTTTGATGAATTTCAAAAGCTTCTCTCCCCCAGGCGAGTCCAGGGCTTGCAACAACATTGTGACAAACATGGGGTCTCTGAGCTTTTCTGAAAATGTTTGCTTATTGGAGTCCTGCGTCCATAGGGTCATAAGCATGAATTGCAGGCTGTCATAATTTCTTTCAGGCTTAAAACGGGTCATATTGATCGTGTTCCCCATGGTCGCATTCTTGCCGTCTCCAGTAGGCATCAGTACAATCATACCCATGGCTTGAGTAGTTTCAGGGTTTTTGGCACATGTGGTGCAAATTGGGATGCAGGCTGGGGTGCAGATGGAGGGACAGGTTTTGGGACAGGTTGTTTCTGCTGGACAGGCAGGAGTGGTGACGCATTGCTTGACTGGCTTGCATGTGGTGGTTCCACATTGGGCTTTCATGACCTCTTGAATGCGATTTGGTAGGTATATGACCTTGGATCCTCTTGACATCAGCATTGATGGGGATGATAGTAGTAGGAGCAAGGAGACGAAGGTCACTCCTTTTGATGGAGAATAAAAAAAGGACATGCAAAAATAAGAGTATAGAACAGGAGCATTAATGAAATCCGCACTTTTATTTCAATTTTTGTGTAAAGTTTATGAGGGTTGTTGCGAATATTTCAACAACCATATTAAATTTGATATGCTAGCTTTGAGAGAACCCAAATTCTCAGTAAAGTTTGTCTTTCATTCCATCTATCTGTGTGAGAATCTTGGAAGACCTTGGTTCCCACAGATGTTTTGCAGCCTCCAAGGCTGGATTTTATTACCAGAATCCTGTTGCTGTTTTTTTGTCCTTGAAGGACAGTTTTCCTGATTTCCAAACTTGGGGATTTTATTAAAGTTTGATTCAAGCATTCATGTGTGCATCATCTCTGAGATTTTGCGAGTTTGCTGTTGTGCTCAAACCTCACCAAATTACACCAACTTTAAAAAAGGGTGTTTTGCACCCCGGTTGTAGCCCGACCGAATTGTTGCATTTTATTTCTCAAACTTCTTTCTAGAAATTACCAACTCAATCTAAACCTTTTATTTGTTGGGATTTATTCCTAACAAGGGTTGTCCCAGTTGCACGCAACCTCTGATTTTTTTTCCCCACAGTATGTGTGATTGCAAAACAATTGTGACATAGCCCATAATGTTCTGGGATTCTTTTCAGATTTTCAGAATAGTTGTTCAATCCACTGAATGATGATCAGTGAACACTTTCCAGTCATACCTAGAACTGGAAAGTTTTCATTGATCATCAAGCAGTAAATTAAAATAAATTGTAAAAAATCTGAAAAATTCCCAGAACTTCAAAACAGCATGAAATATGCCATAATTTTTTTTCAATCACACATATTATAAAAAATGTCAGAATTATGCGGCGAGTCTCTGCACAATAAGGAAACTAATGAAAGTTCCAGAATGAGTGATAGATGCAAAACATGATTTATGGTATGAAAACTTTTTAAGCTCCAACAGAAAATTGTTAATTCCTTTCCAGACACTTCAAAAAATTTCTGGCTTGACCACAAAATCCCTGAAGGGTATTTCACTTTATTTGCTTTGTCAAAATATCAGAACCGTAAGCTGTTCATTTTCTGGACTCAAAATTTTCAAGTGCTTTCTAAGGGCAACAACCCTACTTTTCTTTGTACAGTATTATAAAGTTATTCTCGAATGTTTTTAAAAATAAATTTAAAATGTATATTTAGGAAGCTTCCTGAAATACATGCATATGAGTTTGGGAAATCTTTTTGCATCCTTCACTTTTTTTGCAATGTCAGCTGTGTCCTCGTATTTTTTCCGGCTTCTTCAAGTTTGAATTATGTAAGTCTTCCTCCTAAAAAAAACCCCAATTTCAGTATATATCATAATTTTTTTTTTTAGAAAAACCAGGTGATGCTGTAGAAATTTTCTACTGTCAACCTTTTTTTCAAAACATATTACATTATATTCGTCTATTGTTGAATGACACTCATATTCTGATTATTTTTAAGACTGTAATTTTGATTTCCAGGTCCGACATGTTTTTTAAATTATTTTTCGCGATTTAAAAATGACACGATTCACTTCAGAAAATTGCAAAGAATCTTTCCGACGGCACTCGAATAAAATGGTGAATAAAATGTGCGACAAGCTATTTGAAAGATTGCTATTTTTTGAATTTCCCGAACGAGTCAGCACTGAAAATAAATCTCACCGAAATATTTGAAAGTAAGGGACATGGCTACTGTAGCCCTGATGAAAATTGAATAGTTGAAAATGGAAAAGATGCTTTCGGTGTTTCAGGATTTGCACGGATGTACTTCTTTATATTTTCTCTTTTCTTTTTGAAAGCCCCGGGTTAAGATTGCAGAAAAACAGGAAAAAAGAGCACGTTTCGGTGTATGATAGAAAACACTTCCTTGTTCTCTGAGTATAAGCATCTTATTCAAAACATGGTCCTCGCTTTTTTAAATTTATTTCTGGGATGCGCAAAAAACTCAATACTCGCTTCCGCGTTGGACCATTCGAAATTATGATGCCTTATTGGTTTATTTTTTTCATAATCATCAGCAAATAATTTCAGCCCTTTGACATCATCATCATCATCATCATCATCCAGCAACTCATTGATGTGCAGCAAAGATTTTGCTAGCTTGGGATGGATGCCATGGTTCCTTTCCTTAGCCAGGGCTTTGTTCACTAAGCTTGTTAAAAAGGTCTCTTTCACTGCATCCTCTGCCATTTTTGCTGCATCCACATCTTCCACAGAGATATTCACCAACTTATTGGCACCAGTTTTTGGGTCCCTGACATAGCCCAGACAATGTGCCATGGATGATCCATTTGCCTTTGCTTCTATGATCTTGTCAATCAAGACCCTGGTGCAGTTGACTAATGGATTTTCATCTGTTTTGGATTCAGTTGTGGTTGTGGGACAAGTTGTGGTAGTGGGACAAGTTTTGGTAGTGGGACAAGTTTTGGTAGTGGCCCTAGTAGTGGTTGTTGGACAAGTTGTGGTTGTGGTCCTGATTGTGGTGGTTGTGGTGGTTGTGGGACTAGTGGTGGTGGTTTTGCGCCTTGTGGTGGTAGGATCTGTGAGGAAGTGCTCAGGTCTGGGCCCCCAGGGGTGACCTTCATAGTACCTGTTGGATAAATAGACAAATGTTTCAATTTGTAATGCCAATATTTTATTAAAAGGGCGACCTTTTCACTTATTGGTGCCACTGATTGAAACTTTTGGGAACCAACATATCAAAGCCTTTGAAAATTATTCTTCCTTGGAGTGATTTATATGACTCTATGAAAGCTTTGGAGTCCAATAAGTTATCCTTACCTCAATCAAGATAAATGATTCTTTATTTAATTTGTATGTATTTATCCTCTTTCATTTGTGTGCATGAGAATCTCTTTGTGGATTTTGACATTCTTTTTGTTGTGATTTTATTTGTATTGGACAAAAACAATTGAATGAATCATTCAAGAAAACAAAAGGAACATGCATTCACAGTGCCCTTTTTTAATTGCATATTCTCAGCTTTGAAATGGATGCTTGTCCAATGTACTGATTCATTACTGGACAATACTTGGGATTTTTGCCCTAAGCCTGGCAGGGATCATTTTTCATATAAAATTAAAACCTTTGCTCCTTTATCTAGGTTTGCAATTGTTTTGCTGTGATTATTTTTACATCAGACAGCAAAAAAAATGTGATCATCATTGATTGGCTTATTATGACTTAGCTTAGAAGCATTGGATTTTTTGTTTGCACAATGCTTGAGTATTCTTACCAATGGATTCAAAGTACTGTATAATACTGTAACCCAGAAACTGATTTCCTTTCTTATCTATTTTCCTCTCTTTATTTGGGAAGAAATAGCTTTTACAAGGTTTTTCGTTCCTTACAGCTGTTCCCTCTTGTTTTGGTTCCCCCTCCCTTGCATCAGCCCGCATTAATGCATGACACCCATTTATGCTCATTTTTCCTTTAAAATTGGCTATTTTTCAACTTTGACACACAACCCTCACGACTGCCTCCTTCAAAAGAACTTGCCAATTTAGAGCAGACCTTCCTATTGAAGGTACAAGTGTATTCATTATTTATATTCTTATCTATATATATACCAGGATGTATATATATTCATCAGTGTTCATGGAACCCGCAGTTCCCCAATCAAGGCAAATATCTGACCTCTACACTTTATGTTTCCAGGAAGGCATATATATATATCTTCCTTCGTGTATATTTTCTCAGAATTAATCTAGAGTTGCTTGCGGTTATTTCTCAGAGAGACTTGCAAAACGCTTTAGCAATAAGACTCTCTTCAAATCTCAATATTTGTGTATCTTTGTGTGATTGTACAATTTGAATATTTTGTGACTTGAATATATATATTGACTATATTTTTTATTGGACTTAAATTTTATTTACCTTGGTTTATGGACAAGAATACCTTTTGAAATGTAAAGTATATCATTGCACCAATATATGTATTCATTAATCTGGTACCTATATCAATTTTTTTATATATGTCAGTCCTTCATGAGGTTTTGAAGGAATTTGATGTCATTCTGCTTCTTCAAAATTTCCATGAAAATATAATGTAGTAGACAGTGTGAGAAACATGAGTTTTTTTATGCACTAGTTAACAAAATGTGAAAATCAGTCTCAAGTACCCCATATACATTGTCTTGTAGCCAGAAAATATGGCATCAAAGTCTCTGAGTCTGATGGGTTCTTCTGAGACTGGAACTGGGTCAGCTGCGTCCTTCATGAGGATCCAAATCAGGACCCACAGCCCTTGCATTGGCAAAAACAAAACACTTTTGTTCAACACTTCTTTTGTCACTTTTAAAACACAGTCTCTTTTATATATTCACCTCTCATTATCCAACCAGATTTATTTTTCCAAAGTTTTCCTTTCAACTGCTGCTGATAAAGAATGGATTTATGCGCTGGAACTTGACAGTGTCTAGAAAAAATGCATGTTATGGTTCTCTGGTTGTATTTAGCTTCCCTGGGAAAGTATGAATATTTTTATATTACCATAAAATAAATTGACAAGACTTGCTCAGCTGGGGCTTGCTTTATTATTGTACATGCTTCAGAGTATATATATATGGACCAAAGCAATTGTATAATTATTCAGGGCTCTGATTTTGAGAACTTCATGGGAGGCAAATGTCCAAGGAATGCTTCAGGATACCCTGCCCCAAATAAGTTGCATCCTGGGTAATTTTGGATGGTCTCTGGGGAATAATATGGTGGCAATGAGTCAAGGATGGTCCCAACTTTGGGCAAAACAGGCTCTGCCATTTGTTGTTGATGAGGCATTGGGTAGAATTCTACACCAGTGTTGACACCATGATGTGCAGGCACCCTGTAGTAAAAAGGGGCCCCAGGTTGGAACACGTTCATTCTCTGCTGTTTTTGTTGTATGTGTCTCCTCAGGGTCTCTGATGTGGGCACCAATGCTGATGCGTCTATAGGGATGAACTCTTTGGGTTGGAAAACCAGACTGGGGTCCACATTGTGCAACACTATCTCAACTGCCTGCTGATGATGATGGTTTCCTTGAATAGGTCTTGGTGGTCTTGGGTTCTTGAAGAACCCAATGAGATGCAATGGGTTATTGTTATTGGTATTCTTTGATGTGTCTTCAAACACCTGCTGAAGACAGATTAAGAAAGATTTAAAATTACTGAAATTCAATGAAGAGACACTTTTGGAACTCTTAAACGATCAAGAAAATTTTTTGGCCTTATATGATTTCTCAACTAAGATTCTCTCTAAATTGTTCATTGTCTCTTTTATTTTTGTCATTGGTTTGTGCTTTGTTTCATGCTTTGAAATGATTGAATGTATTTGGGGGAGTTGAGTTGGGTGGGGAGGGGGTTTGGATGCGGGAGTTCTGGTTATGCCTTGTGAACGCTGAAAAGCGGCAAATACAGTTTTCTGTTCATTCATTCATTCACCTGCTGATGATGGGTTTTGCCCACAATGTCCTGAATCCCTTGCAATTTCAAGGGTGACCATGTTGTTGTTGTTGTTGTGACTCTTTCATCATCATCATCAGGGGACTCCATCATCAAGGGTTTTGGTCCATAGTCTGAAAGTGAGGTTTCTGACCCAGGTTTCAGCACTTTGATGACAGATTTTGGGCTTGATCCCTGCTTATTTTTTCCTGCTGGTCTGGGTTCAAGTAATTCATCCTTCTCTGATGAAATTGATGGGGGTAATAATTCGAGGTTTCTTGTGGGATCTGATTTGCCCTGAATTGTGGGAATTCGGTCAAATTCGTTGCTCGAGTCCGAATACCAGTCGTCATCTGCATTCAATTTGGAAATTGGCGTTGGAACAGCTGTGTTTATTATCGCAGTGATTAAAATCAGCAAAATTTGAGGCCCTGTTTTTGTATGTAAAAGAGAAACAATGAACAATTTTGACAACTCATAAGCAGATTTTTTTTTTGCTTACTCACCAGCAAACATTTTCGGATTAATCTTCAAATTTTTGAAAACCTCGAGAGACTTTTTTGTGAGAAGTGAAGAGGGTGTTTTTTAGTCCCGGGGTTTTTATAAACTTTAAAAAAAGCGGAAATTTCTGGTGGCTTTTGCGCAGTTTCAAATTTTAGACGCAGTTTATTTTTCTGCACACAGTTCTGGGATTTGCAGAAGAAAAATTAGCGGGATGTTGACGTGTTTTTTTTTACCTGATTGTGTGCGATCTCCGCAAATAGACTAGTATTTTCTCGTCCATTTTATTTATTGCTTTATAGATATGAGTGTAAAACTGTTGGAAGATTAAATCTTTTCCGCTTTGTTTTGAAAGAGATTCTCCTCTTTTTTTTTCTTCCTCCTGTTCTGCTGTGGGAAAGTTGGGATGTGGAAGATCCGTTGTGTTTTTTTCATCTATGTGAATGGAAGGGATGGTATGTGTTGACTGATGGACTCAATATGCTATCACTGATAGCATTGGCATCATGCAGACTACTGGGGTTGTCCTGGTGCTGCTTGCTGGGGTTGCTGTTGGCCAAAATCAGTCAATTTTTGATGGCACCTGCTCCAGGTGTCCCATTTTTCATAAATAAGTTTGTTTTGGCAAAGAGTGCTGTAATTATTTTTTTTTCTGGACTGGTGTGTGACTTTTGGTGTGAGCCCTTTCCAATTGTGTGTATGTGTGTCTGTGTGGTGTCAGAAATACTTTCTTGACAAGAAAGAGTAATTAAAATATTAATTATTAGAAATGAAAAACTGCAGGTGGGGCAAAGCTCTACTATAACATTGTTCTATTTCAAATGGTTTTGACAAAGATTATTTCACCAGATCTTTTTTCCAGTAAAATAAGTTTGCAATCCAACACAACCAATTGGAATTTCAAAAGCACACAGTATGCTTGCTGACTCTTCCAATTGAAGCACACAAAGACTGTTGATACCCAACTGTTTTTTGACATGGTCAGAACTTGACAAGCAAAACTTTTAGATGGAAAAGTGATAAAGCTTGTCCTTGCAGACTTTTGAGTATTTTGAGAAATAAGCCCTTGGAGGACAATAATTTTACTCAGGGAAAACTGTGGGAAGTTGAGGTCAATTCTGGTTCCACGTGATTCCTGAGGAGAATGGTGCAAAGCTTTGCCAATCTTAAAAGTCATCTAAGTCTTTTTTTTTCAGTGTGATCTACTGCAACAACAAGATTCTGGAGCTGGTTGAAGCTTCAGAGTTTTTCAAGGACCCCAAAGACTTTGTGGACATGTGGATAGTGGAAGACCCAACTATGGCTCTGGTTTCATTCAATGAGAAGGTGTATTCTAAGGCTAGTAAGGGTTTGGACTACAAGAAGGAGTTGAAGGAATGGCTCCAGTTGTTTTTCAGAAACACTGACAGGGCCTATGTGAGCGTTTTACCAACTGATTGGCCTGAAACGTGAGATTTTATTTTTCAACACATGTATATGTTAATTTAATGCATTAAATATAGTCAAAAACAAAATTTGACCTGGAGAGGTTTTGAGTCAGGGAAAATCAGAGCAAACATTGTCAGGTCCAGGTTCCAGTCAAATTATGTTGATGTTCCCTTCAAGTTTAACTTAGAGAGGTTTTGAGGTAGTGGAACTGCTGGAGCTGAAAATGTTTGCTAAAATTTTGGAAAGGAAATATTGAGACTGCTGAATTTTGTTTGTAGTCTCTCCTCAGATTAAAAAAAAGAAAAAGCTTGAAGTATTGGAAACTGCTGTTCAAGCATAAGTCCAAAGGCTGCAGAACTAAAAAAAAAAAAAAAGAAGATTATGTGTCAAATTACAGTTGCTCACTTCCTTTCCAAAATCACTGTAATTCAAATTGTCTGCACCTTCATGATCTATGCAACATTTTTTAATTAGAGAGGCTTGCGGTGGAAAAGTAATTTAGTTTAGGAGGTTGAGCTGTGTCTCTATACTGTATATATATTTGTACAGTGAAAGCATGCTGTACACTTGTGAAATTGTTTGCACATATTAATGATCTGATCTCAGAGACAATTTCTGATATAATTTCAAAAAGCTGTAAGTATAAACATCTTCAAACTCAACAGCAACTAATACTTGTTTTATACTTGGCTTTGTTTCATATTTTAAACTTTTATATCATAATATTTAAATTTTGATGGTTTGGAATTTTAGTACTGAATTTATTGATGAATACAAGCTGATGAGGTAAGCTCTTTTATGGCGGATTGTGGGGATACATCTTTTCCTAATTTTCTCACTACAGTTCAAAATTTTCTCACTACACTTGAGAGAGATCATGTCAAATGTTACTTGATTAAATGTATTGAGGTATTTATGTGTGCATTTTTGAAGTGCTGATTTAATTTCCTGTGTCTTCTGTTGGTTGGTTTTGCAGACCTCCTCATTTGCATAAAATTGCTGACCCTGCTTTGAAGAGTTGGGCAAAGCACTTGAATTTAATGTGGACTGGGTTGGTGAAGAAGACCAGAGCAGATTCCTACATTTTTCCTGAAAGGTTTTCTTTGCTGTACATGCCAAACCCTGTGGTGATTTCTGGAGGTCGGTACAGGGAATGGTACTACTGGTGAGTTGGACTAAAACTCATTGAAATAACCACCCACAGAAAATTTAAATTATAGAGTTGTTGAGTTATAAGGATGATGGGTCAATATGTGTGCCCAAGTTAATCATTCATTAAGAATGCAGTAGCGGTGGTGTTTTTATCACTTCTAAAAAGGAACTTCACTGTTTGGGGAATTCTTAATAGTGGAGATTTTCATCAGCTTTTAAAACCCACTGATTTTGGCCACTAAAAGGCTTTCGAAACTTTAATTGGAACAACACTTAGAGGGTTTCAGATGACTTTAATAATTGACTTTGAAAATGAAAATGTCTCCAAGCTAAAGACATTTGAAATACTTAGTTATTTTCAAGGGAATTTGGCCTGGGTTTAAACAGTAATTTCAGATACATGCAGAGTTATTTGACTTATATTACAGTATGCAGATGGTGGCCTATGTTGGAAAAAACTTTGGCATGCCGACAAGTTGGAACCAGATTAAGTTAAATTACTCTTCTGCCTTGCAAAAATCTTGAGAAAAATTAACAGCTTCTGCTGGAGCCTGAGAACCAAACCTGAGTTTGGTTCCCAAGCCCAGCAAGGACATTTTCTGAATGGAAATCTAATCCACCTCCTTCAACTCTTCCTTTCCTGATTTCCAAATTTTGGATGATTCTGACACTTGCATTCAAATTGTTGACCCAAGCAGATCTCCGTGCAGAGAAGCTTCATTTGCGCAAACTCCAAAATATTGACCAAGTGTTGATCATCAAAAATACAACTCTTTAAAACTAGGACTGCTGTCCCGGCTGTAGCCCGGCTGATCAATCAAGTTTTCATATTCTAATCAACTCTTCTTATGCAAAAGGGGTTTTGTTTTCATATCATCTTGTTTCAATTGCACTTTCCAATCAATCTTTCTATTCCTTGTTTAAACAGCTTTGTGAGTTACTTTTTATCAGTTTGACATCTTTTTCTCACAGCCTAGAAAAAAGTATGTTTCATCTGATATGTTTAATCTTCTAATTAGAAAGATAATTTCATGAGTTCATCACAGGGATTCATTTTGGATTTTGATTGGGCTGCTGAGAACTGGGATGACAACAACTGCAAAGGGGATGTTGGAGAACTTTGTTGCCTTGATTGAGGAATTTGGACTGGTGCCAAATGGAGGCAGGACTTATTACACCAAAAGAAGCCAGCCTCCATTCTTGATCCCCATGGTGAAACTATACATGGATCACATGGAGGAGCTCAAGAGAAGGGATCCCAATGTGACATCTCCATCTTTTGCATTGTGAGAAAATTTAAGCTTTTTCCTATGAAATAAATATATGAAGGTTTAAAGAAGAGGCTGTCAAATAAGGCTCTGCTTTGTTTACAGTTATCATTCAGTTTACAAGGTGCTGCATTTTTACAGCTGAATCTTGAGCTGGGATCCAGTAATATTTATTTAAAAAACACCACTAAATATAATTTATTTTATGATGCTTTTAAAAATTTCTTTTTGGTTTGACTGATTCATTTTCAAACTTCATAATCCCAGATAAAAATTGCGCAGGATGTTTTGTTCATTTTCATCATCAGTCACAAAATTATTTTAAAATTTTGAATTAATTTTTATAAACATTTTCTGGAAATTGCTTTGTGGTTTGGCAAATGTGTTTTTAATTTTCATAATCCCAGGGAAAAATTACGCAAAACATTTTTTTTATTCATTGAGGACACATAAATCTTAAATAATGTAGAATTACTTTTTTATCTTCTATAGAACTTATTGCATTTTGGTTTGGCAAATGTATTTTCAAGCTTCATAAACAGAGAGAAAAATTTACACAGGATGTTATATCCATTTATATCATTAAGTCACATATTTCTTGAAACATGTTTATCTTCTCTCATATTTTCTATCGTTTTTGTTTTCAAAATTCACCTTTAAACGTGCAAATCAAGTTTGATGGAGTAAAGGTAGAAAAAAATATTATTTTTGTGGTCTATTGCTGTGATCATCATGTTCAAACTTTAAAATCCAAGGAACAAATATTAAATGAATTGTCACTGTTATATGTCTTTATTTTCATTCATTGGCATCATAATTCATAAACTGTGTACATAATAATTTTTGCGAGTATTTTATGCGTATAGATATTCATGAAATAATGTGCTGTTTATTATATGTATGCATATATATAGTGACTACATAACTGCGTTGGAAGACGAGTTCCAGTTTTGGGTGAAACGACGATCAGTGAATGTGAGCGTGAATGGGGAGAATGTGACAATGTTTGCCTATGGAACCAACAGCACTGGCCCAAGACCGGAGGAAATGAGCGATGATTTGAATGTATCCTCAAATTTGAAGGGACGAGTCAAAGAGGAATTTTTCGTGGACATTAAAACCACGTGCGAGTCCGGCTGGGATTTTTCTTCTCGTTGGGCAGTCGGACCTGACGGAAAACCAGCCAATTCCCCGAGTATATTTAATTCATTATATATAATGTGTTTGTATATACTGTATTTCATAACGAAATTTTGACTCATTTGCTTTCAAAATTGTAATTTTGGAATATTTAATGCACCGAGAAGAAATGGACTATGCGGAAAAATTTTAAAAACGCCCATCATTCAGAAAAAGGTCACATCTATATCTGAGAAACTGAGGATGCAGAACATTTTAATTTGTTTTCAAATAAATGCCGATTTCATGAGCTTTCAAGTTTTGCTGTTATTGTTTATATCAGTGTTCCCCAACATTTTTGGCAAATTTCCATAAAATATTTTGCGGACCAGCAAATTTTAAAAAACAAATTTTCTGCAGACAGGCAAAGTTTTGTGATATTTTTGCAGACTAAAAAAAAATTTTTTTTAAGACTTTTTTCCATTTGCAAAAATTAGTTCACAAACCAATGAAGCAGCTTTAGTGGAATGACTTCCATAAATTAAGAGAGGTGATGGGCTTGCAGAAAGGTTTTTCAGAATGCAAATTTAAAATAACTTATTATCCAGCAGGTGAAAATTTGTCTGGAGTAGTGTTATTTTAGGATGAAAGCCAACTTCTACTTTTTATTTTCAGATAATTTCAATTACCATTGTCTTCCCAAAATGTAAGATAATTATAACAGGCTTCATTGCAACTTTTGATACATTTATTATGCTGAAACATTTTCCTGCAGACTGGCAAAGAACTTCTGCTGCAATCTTTATTTTAATTGCAATATATTGAAACATTTTCCCTGGGTTCCATTTTTTGGGTTCCCCCTATGTATTTTTTTTATCAATTATGAATATGTAGGCTGAGAACTTCTGCAAGTTGATTTGAATAGACCTTGCTTTTGGTTATTCCCCATATGATGACAGCAATTCCGTGGTCAAGGCTGAAACCAAGACAGATTTTACCTGTGGACCTGAATGCCCTGATGTGCTACAATGCCAGAATTCTGGGGTATATTCATGCAAAACTTGCAGACAACAATGAAGATGACCCAGAAGCACAGAAGTACTTCCAGCTGAGTGAAAAAATCAGTGATGGCATCATGAAGCTTATGTATGACAAAGAGACTGGGTCTTGGTATGATTATGACTTTATCAATAAGGTAACTTAAACTTCTGTCTTATGTGTTTCACTTTTATATTGGGGTTATGTGTCTTTTCTTTTTTTGCACAGAGGCAAAGGAAGAACTTTTATGCCTCAAATGCGTGGCCATTGTGGATGGATTGCATTGGGACAGGTACCAATAAGACAGAGTTAGGCCTGCAATTTTTGTCTTACCTGGAGAAAGAGAATGTGACCACTTATCCTGGTGGGTTGCCTGCCAGTAAGTTTGAGAACACTGGATTTGCATGGGATCATCCTCATGGGTATGCACCTTTGGTGCACAGCATGGTGACTGCTTTGAGCAGCGTGGACCACCCAAAAACAAAAGCTGCTGCTTTTGGTTTTGCACAAAAATGGGTTGACATGAGCTACAGTGCTTATGTAAAGTCCCAGTCCATGTTTCATAGTGTGAGTATATTGTGTGTTATAATGTGGTTCACTATAAGTTTATCTTTCTTGGATGGATGACACACACTGTGTTCTCTCAGCATGTACCATACAGAATCAACATTTTGTCATCAGTGAATTACTGTACAGTAGTATTTTGAAATAAAATATTTTGAATACAGTATTTTGAAATAATATGATGTTTGAGAATGAATGGATAGATGAAGAATGCTCACATCAGCTTTATCTGCAGTACAATGTCACTGACATTCACCATGAAGGAGAGGGAGAAGATGGCTATGCCTGGTCAGTTGGAGTCGCCATCCTAAAGAATCATTTTATACCGCTGTTTAACTTCCGGGGCCACAGTTCACGCATGGCGGCACCACTTCAATGTCACCAAGATAGTGAATGTCAACAGGAACAAACATTCTCTAAAGAAACTCTTCACCGCTTGTCTTTGTTGAAATTGAGCGCGAGGTTATTTTTCGTAAATAATTATATTTTAAAACCGTATGTGCTTGTTTAGATAATAAAACTGATGTTGTATATCAATTTGACAAGTGTACTGCACTGTATGCTAGATTCTTAGTTCACTTATTGTTAGCTCTTTGTGCTACGAGCTTCACAGAGCTGTCCGGGTGGCGTTCCGCAAGATGACGATGCCCATTGCCTGCTTTCTGTTGGAATCATTGCGAAGGATTGTGGGAGTGGACGGACGAAGGCCCAACCACGAATAGCGCTTGAAGTCGAATTCATCTTGAGAGTGTTGCGTTAGTGTTTCCAATGTGACATTTTGAACGTTTTTAGGGATTTGAAATGCTTAACTCACCTCATGCCCTTCATCGCGATCGACCGCAGGTGGAGCGTGACTACATACGGGGAATGCCTCATTTTTAGCCTTTCTTTCCTGAATTTACAGAGCAAGTAGGTTTGTGTGATCTTTTGTAATGGATTCGAAGCCCGCGAAGGCGAAGGAGCAACTTGCTCCCGTTGGAAAGCGTTCCACGCGTGTTAAGGGACCGGCACCGAAGAAAGTTGGCCGACCGCGAAATTATGCTCTGGTGCCAGGTCTTATGCGTTTCAGCAAAGCACGCATGTACCAGCGAAAAGCACTGTACAAGCGAATCAAGCACGGCGAGAGACCTGCCGTAAGTCGATCATTCTTGTTGCGCACTGTTTGTACATGGAAGATTACCGCAGCGCTTGAGATTATCACCCCAAGATCATGGACTGGGAGAGCTTCGTTGAGATAACTTCGCCTAATACGATGCCTTTTTTTTTTTTTTCTGCAGTTGAAGAAGACCAGGAGCCCGCGATTCATCAAGAAGGATGTTGGATCCGGGAACGCGAAGGGAGTTAGGAACGTGCGTGTGAAGAAGCACCCCAAGATCGTGCATCCC